CTGTAACAGGATGGAGAGGCAGGCAGGTTAGCGACGTCCACGCCACCCGTTCCTCACGTACGGCCGTGGGGGCCTCCCTTTCTGAAGCTGGGGGAGCTGGGCACCCCTGAAGGCTCCTTCTGTCTCCAGGTGTGTGTCGTCCCCCCCCGCCCCCATTCTTCAGCACCTAAAGGCAGCGATTACTTCTATGATTAGACTGGAGGCCAAAGGGCGGCTCCATATCTTGTAGGAATGGCGGGGCGTCCGGGAGGTCTCGGGGCCACGGACAGCCATCAGCACCGTCCCCAGCCCCGTCCGCGTGGGGCGTGCGGCGCCCCCAGCCCGGCCAGGGATTTATGGGGAACGGGCAGTGGTGACAGATGTCCGGCCATCGCCGGCGGCAGATGCATCCCCGTGATCCCTTTCTGCCTCGCGGACTGCCGGCGCACCGCCAGGCTGGGCCCGCGTCCTCTCGCGGAGCCCGGATACCGGGGCGCCGACGCCCCGCTGATGGAGCGCACCCTCGTCCCCCGGCCGCCCGCACGCCGCCGGCCACCAGCAGTAATTAATCTCTTTATCCCTCAAATTGTAATTTTGACTACGAACCGCGCGCGGCCATCAATCAGCGGCCCGCGCCCGGGCTCGGTGCATGAATCACGGCCGGGCCCGGCGGCCGGCCCGCGCCTGGTTAACAAGCTTTATCAGGAGTCATTGGCTTTGTTATGGCTCTGCCGCGCCGCCGCCCGGAGCCCGGGGCTGGGGACGCGGGGGAAGATGGAAACACTTATTAGAGCGCCTTCCTTCCCGACGGAGATAGCGCTTTCCGCGGAGTCACGCCGGGGGTGCGTGGCGAGACATACATCACCGGGTTTCCCGAGACCGGGAGGCGGCGGCCCCCGGCGCGTCCTGAGGCCCGCCGTGGGGGCCACCGCGCGTCAGCACACACTCTGACCGTGACTGCCACCCCAGCGGCCGGTCTGCCAGCTGCAGGCCGGAGGGAGAAGGGGAGAGGCCGCCTCTGGAGAGCGCTCCCCGAAAACACCGGCCGCCCGTCCCCCCCGGTGCGGGGACACCCACAGCACGGACACCCACGGCGGCGACACCCACGGCGGGGACACCCACGGCGGCGACACCCGCGGCGGGGACACCCACAGCGCAGACACCCACAGTGCAGACACCCACGCCAGGGACACCCACGGCGGGGACACCCACGGCAGCAGGCACTCGGGAAGCGGCCCGCGCGCAGAGAGGCCACGCCAGGATTTGACATCCCGTCATCCGTCCCGGAGACAAAGGTCCGCACCGGAATGTGAAGTAAGACGTTTTCTTGTTAATAAAGCATTGATCCGGCGCATTGATTTTACATGACACGGCGTTCGCCGCCATCGCGCCCTCCTCTCTCCCTTTGCGAATTCCTGGGGCTCCTCCCGGTGCCCGGGCACGGGTGACACGGCGCGATCCCTAACTCCCTGCGAGGTAAATTCCACACGTGCAAAACCACTTCATAATCAAACCATTAATCATCAGACGCTGTCAGCGCTGACTGGGGGGACAATTTGTCATGTCTCCGCTGGCCGGGACGCGGGCGCCGGGCGGGAGCGTGGCGGTGCGGGCCGCCGGGCGGAGGGGCCTTGCCCCGCGGACGGGCCCGGACGGGAGGAGATAAAGTGTTACGCTCCTGGATGAGGGGACAAAAAAGGTGGCCCACTGTACGTCTCCTCTCCCCACCCCCCATCCCCCGTGTCACGGTTTCTCCTCTCCCCCAGCTAATCACCATGACGGTGTGACTTAATGAATCGGCCGATGAAAGGTGATCAGAAAAGATAGATGGGCAGCCGCTATTGATTTCATGCAAATGCCCTGACAGGTGATAGACGCTCTAATGCGAGCTTCCAGGGGCCTCATGACTCGAATAGCCACACGCTCTCACTCCGGGAGGACGTTTCCTGGTGTTTCCGTTTCAAGGGGACGCCCTGCTCCGCACACCAACGTTATTTCAGAGCAGGGTAAACGGGGGGGGGGGGGGGGGCGAGGGGGGGTCCGCCCGCACCCCTTGCTTCAGCCTGGAGCGCTCTGACGTCTCGCAGGCACTGCCCAGAGGCAGCGGGGCACCGGGGCGGGCAGCTCGGACGATGACGTCATCGAACCCCCGAGGCCTCTGCCACGCAGGGGGGGGGGGGGGAGGCTCTGGCAGCAGCTTGGCTGCGGGGAGCCCTAGGAATTTACATGGACCGATGAGAAAAAACTGCCCTTGTCTCAGAACTGCAGAAGCAACACACATCCTGGGGGGTGTGGGATCCCTGAGGGCGGAGGGGAGAAGGGGGGCTCCAAGCTGCCCCGCCCCCAAGAGCCACGGAGCCCACCACCCCGCACTGGGGCCACCGCCCAATCCCCGGACTGGAGGAGAGAAGCCGGAGACGCTCGGCACACATCTCATAAATCCTCCGCCCGTGGCGTTTACAAGGCGAGGCCCGGCCGGGCAGGGCAGGACTCTGGCACGTCCAGTCGCCGAGCCCCGAGC